CTGGCATTGCAATTGGATTCAGTGGTTACAAAGCCACATATAGCCTCTTACTCTGTGCTTTGGGGATATTACAGATACAGTATTACCCCCGGCTTATAGCCAAGGAACCAGGGCTCAAAAAGGCTAAGTGCTTTGTTGGTCACAAAGTTAATAATTGCCAGATGTGAGTTTCAAACCCAGGTCTGCCTCTAAGTCTAGTGCTCTTCCCACTACACTGTGAAACTCCTAATCATATAACTTCACAGTATATTATTTAACTTCTCATGTATTAATTTTTATCTACTCAACTAGATTATAAGCCTAATTACTGGGGTTCCTCTTTTATATTTCATAATTTCATAGCACCTCGTACATAAGTGTTCAATAAATAATTGTTGAAAGAACTAATGCTGTTCAGAAAGAGAGAGAAAAAAAGAGTGAGGGAAGGAGAAACAGGAAAAGGAAGGAAGGAATCAAGGAAGGGAGGGAGGAAGAGAGGGATGGAGGAAGAGAGGCAGGGGGAGGAAGGGAGGAAGAAAGAGAGGAGGAAAAGAAGAATGGAAAGAGGGAGGAAGGGAGAGAGGAAAAGAGGGTGGAAGGAAGGGAAGGGAAAAAGGAGAAAAGGAGGAAGGGAGGCAGGAAAGAAGGGAGGAAGCAGAGAAAAATTCTCTCCTTTGCCCAGGTTTGTCCACCTTTCATCCGGCATTCTACATATGAACTTTGATGTGCTTTTGATTCCTTGGTTATTAAGTCCTATTAAATCTATTTCTGTAATAGCTCTCACATCCATTCCTGCTTTTCTATTCCCATAGCTACCATTCTGGTATATGCCCTAATTATCATCTACCTAAATTACTGCAGATCTTCTTGCTTCTCTACCTCTCTCCCACCCTTAATCCATTCTTTAGACAAATCATCCTTATGAAGAGACCTGATCCTGTTCTTCCTCTGCTGTAAAATCATCAGTGGTTCCCCAATGCCTACCAAGGGAAGTTAATATTATTTTGCCCTCCATACCCAATTTGCAATCCCTAATTCAAGGCTCTCTTCAATTTGGTATCACCCTACCCTTCCAGCATCATACCCTCACGCTATCCTAAATGTTTTCCTGCACTATCCTCCAAACATGCCTGATGGCAGACTCATCTCCAAGACTTTTCTATTCACTCTACCTACAATGTCCTCCTTCACCTGGTGAATTTCTCTCTCTCCTCTAAAAGACAAACTAAATGTGCCTCCAGGAAGTTTGCATTGAGGGTCCGAGGCATACTCTGTAATAACAAAGTGTTACAAGTTCAAAGTCCCAGTTACCATATTAGAAATTTGAAGATTTTACATGTCCAAGTGTCAGTCACCTAATAATCTAACCCCAGGCTCTTTAAACTTCAAACTACAAGGATCCAGATCTATCTTGTCTTCCAAAACAACAAGTAATAAGCTTCTTCTCACTTGGTTATACTCAAAAGTGATTTAAGTCTACCTAGATACTTCACAGATTCACCAACCAGTCAAATTAAGGAGAGATAATAATTGTGTCCCTTTCCACATATCACATACACACACAACAGGAGGCCATAATTTCAAAGTGTGTTGTAATCACTTTCCAGGATTTGCTATCCCTACATTGTTATTAACATGCAAGGCAGAAACTTTTCTCCCCTAGCCCATGTCTTCAAGGACAGCCTAGAATGGAACCGTTTAGCATAACCTTATAATCTCAGCAGATAGTAGTCTTCTCTCCCCAATCTTCTTCATACTGATAGTGGACTAATTTTCCATATGAAGAGATCTTTTCATTTACTCTTGTGCTTAAAAGTCTTCAGTGACTCCCTCTCAAATAAACTTAAAATTCCTTTCCTTTGTATCCACGGCCTTCTACAATCAAATCCTGCTTTACCTTTCCAACATAATATCATATTGTGCCCCTCCTAGGCCATACAACTCTCTGCCTCCTCCCTTCCCTAGAAAACACCATAGAGCCTACCTTCCTTTGTACCTTTTTCATACTCTACTTCATGACTCGAATGTCCTCCCTAACCCCACACACACTTGCCTATTGAGGTCCTACCAATCTTTTAAAGGCCAAATTCAAATGCCACCATTTCCACAAAGCCTTCCTCTAATTCTGGTCTAGCAATGACCTTTCGTGTCAAGCATCAATTTTTTTATATATCTAATGCATTTTGTCATGTAACATAATTTATTACCGTCATCTATATTTCTGTGTCTCATCTCCACACTAGACTGTAAGCTCCACTGAGGATAGGAATCCATTCATATCTCATCCAAATTTTGAGTCTCCCTCCTCACCACAGTGTTCTGAACACAGAAGGTACATCATAATGTACTACTCCATATTTAGGCGATGCTTCCCTATCCCCTACTCCTAGATTCTAGAAGGCATTCTTCATTCAGATGCCGACTGGATTAGGTAAACTCTGAGGTCACTTCCAACTCACATGCTATGATTCTCTATTGTTATCCTTTCTTGAATTTCCTCATCTATAGAAATAGTTGCAAGGGAGTTCCTCTCCCTGAATTTTCAAAGCTGCCATCTAGCCCATCAAAGCATGATGTATACATAGTAATAAAGTAATGAAAAAACATAATGCAGGGTAGGAAGCACATCTGAAAGCACAGAGCCACTCAGTCTCAGAAAAGTCTGGGATCAAGACTTGTTCTCACATGTGAATGAAAGTGAAGGCACCAGTCACTTCAAAAAGAGATGTGACTTAGGGAGCCAAAAAGGTAAAAAAATGCACCTGAGTTCAGAAATCCCTCTAGAAGGAGGAAGAATCAGGAAGCTCTGATTCAGAAAGAATTTTACAATTAAAAAAAAAAACTCTCAGTAGTGTCAGAAATTTACACACATTATCTCATGAGGTTTTGAAAATAAGGAGTTAGATTCCAGGGGTGGTGAACCTGTGGCCTTGAGGCCACATATGGTCCTCTAGGTCCTCAAGTGCAGCCCTTTGACTGAATCCAAACTTCTGGGGAATCTGCTGTGGCCTCAAGGTTACAGGTTCTACACCCCTAATCATTAGACTTTTTTAAATGTTCTGCCAGCACTTTTTGTGGTAGTAAAGAACTAAAACAAAGTGAGCATCCATCGTTTGCAGAATGCCTAACCAAAATTGTGGTATGTAATGTAATAGAATACTACTCTCCTGTAAGAAATGATGAATAGAAAGAATTCAGAGAAACGTGGGAAGAGCCCATTAGATTGTAAACTCCTTAAGGGCAGGGACTGTCTTTTGCCTTTCTTCGTATCCCCAATGCTTAGCACAGTGCTTGTCACGTAGAAGGCATCTGACAAATGTTTACTGACTCTCTAACCTATACGAACCGATAAGGAATTAAATAAGCAGAACAAAAAAACACTATGCATAATGCCTACAACAACAGAAATAAAAGAACAATAAAATTAAATTGAACTCTATGTAATTATAATGACAAAGTTTGATCCTTGAAAAGAGATGAGGAAATGTGCCTTTTTCCTTTCACTGGAAAAGGGTGGGGGGACTTTGGATATGTGGAAAATTCATGTACTGTCAAACTATTTCCACTTAATCTTGATCAGTTTCACTTAACTGAGGCAATTAGTTGGCACAATAGATAGAGTGCTGGGTCTAGAGTCAGAGAGGTCTGAGTTCAAGTCCAACCTCAGACTCTTATTTGCTGTGTGATTCTGAGCAAATCACACAACCTCTTTTCACCTTATTTCCCTCAACTGTATAATGGAGATAATAATAGCACCTATTTTCCATAATTTGGTGCCTTTTTCCCCCTGTAAATAATTGAGTACTTGTACTGATTTCAATGGCTCTTTTGTGACTAAAAACAATGAGCAACCACTAATTTATCTTGTCTAGTACCAACTCCTGCAAGCTGGGACCAGGATTCTTAGAAAATCCCATTTCTTTACAGTTCCCTTGCTTTAGCGTTCATATATCCAAAAAAATGCCAATTCCTTAGTAACTGGCTTTCAGAAAGTGATCTCTTCCAAGAATAATGCTGTTTGAGAACAAATTATAAAGGAAACAATACATAACTTGTACACCCTTTCACCATATCTTCAGGGTGAATACACTAGAAACAAAGTTGGCAAAGGATATTGAGAGACTTCCCTTCAAATTCTTCATCTGTTTCACTCAGAAGAGATTTCTTCAATTTAATCAGATATCCTTGTAGAAGCAAAAGGTATGGAACGGGTGTGTGTGTGTGTGTGTGTGTGTGTGTGTGTGTGTGTGTGTGTGTGTCTGTGTCTGTGTCTGTGTGGGTCTGGGTCTGTGTGTGTAAGGTGTGGCTTCTAAAAAAGCTGCAAGAAATTTTGAGATATCAAGTTATCTGTTTGCCTTAAGAAATAAACTACATAGGGAAAGAAACTGGACATAAGATTTCATCGACATGTGGAATTCCCCCATGAGTTAACACCCTCTCCCACTGCTGGTGGATAGCTTCTCTGAAACTTAAAGACCTAGAGAAGTTAAATTTAGCCCTTGAAACAATCATTTTCTACCATATTTTATAACCTATTTCAAATGCAGGAGACTGATCTCTTCTATAAGAAACTATCATATGAAGTAAAACATACTCAATTTTTTTTAAAATCACCTATTTCCAGAAGAATTTCCCATAAGCATAAAGTATCAGCACTTTTAAATTAGAAAGAAACCTTACTAGCTGTGTGACCCTGGGCAAGTCACTTAACCCCAATTGCCTAAAAAACCAAAACAAAACTGAAAAAATAAACAAATAAATTAGAAAGAAACATAAACTAAAACCAGCTTAAGAAAAAGTCTTTGATACTCTAAGCAATTTTTTTAAATCAGCACTATTCCTTGCTACCTACCCCATTTAACATAGCTAAAACATCCAAATTACTGTAGATCAATTAGTAGGATGAGTAAGTATTTCACAAGTAGCACTGATAATCCCTGTTAAGACTTGTAGGTCTGAAAATTTGGTTTTATAAAAATATAATAAACTTAATAGAATTAAAACAAACTTTATTACAGCATATGTGTTGTATTAATTTATACAATGAGATATAAAAACATACTGCTTATATTATACAGAAAAGTTGACATCAATAAGAATATTTAAAACAATGACTACTTTTGCACATGACATACATGTTGATAAAAAGCAATTTTACACAATACTGTTTACTAAATAGTAAATAAACCCTTCCCAGAGGGACCTATGGCTCACTCTGTAAGGGATTGCACTAATATGTTCAGGATCTAGACTGTCAAGATGATTAGACACCTTGAATGAGCATATATAGGACCCAGTTATGGCTTTGGATTCATACTCCCAAGGGAGAAGCTATTTATTTCTATGGTAATGATACCACTATGAATCCTAGTAGAAAATCTGACCCCACGGGCAAGTCATTCCAGGACACCATAGTCGGATATAGAGATTAGAATGGAAGGAATCCACTCCTAGTTTATGGCCCTAGAAAAGTGTTTTCCACACTCCAGTCTTTGTAGTTTTGAAGTGGTCCTTTTCCTGTAGCCCTTTATCTTCCCTTTTTTCATCATATACATCCCTATCATGAAGTTTCTACCTCTTCTCGGTCATTTACTTCTAGTGTAAAGGATCTGGGTCAAGAAAAGCAGGTAGACAAAGAGAAGTAATAAAGAAGGGAAAATTGCCTGAGAAATAAATGTCACAAATGACACAGGCAGGAAAAATGATATGAAACAATAATTTATTTTTTACTTCTTCACACACTTGAGTGTGACCCTCAGGAAACTTCTCATGAAGACCATTGCCCTAAAGAATCAAAGGGCATAGAAAGCTGGACTTGGGAGCCAGGAAGACATTGGTTCAAATTCAGATCTCTGACACATCCTGCCTGTATGATCCTGGGTAAATCACTAAATCTTTCAGTCTCCCAGGCAACTAACTCTCTAAGACTGATCATCTGCATTGGGAGAAAGGAACTTCCTTAGTGGAACTCATCATGGGTTCAGACATTTCTCCTCTTTCTCCCAACCCCCCAAAAAATAATCAAGGGGAAAACAAAATTCATTAAGTTCTATCCTTGCTATAAAAAACATGCCTAGGAGAAGAGTCGAGTTAAAAGAGTCAGATGAAGAACATCTACTCTTACACTGATGAATCAGAACATTTAAAATAAAGTCACCTGATACTAAACATTCAATGTTACCACCATGAACACTGTAGTCTTTTTATTCCTTCCTAGTGTGACATTCTTTATTTTCCACTTAAAGGCACTCACACGTGGTATGAGGGTGACATCATTTACCTTAGGTTGTTGGGGGTTTTTTTTAATGTTGAAAAAAGCACGGGAAAAGCTGCATAAAAACCCGAAACAAAACAAAAAAACAAGAGCCATCTTGTTTCTGTAACGAGGACATGTACATTTCATACCAAAAAGTGGCTTCAAACTGTGGTCATCAGTTTTAAAGAGCCAGACCTAAAACGAAGGATTTTCTTTTTGAGATTATGGGAGGCCTTAATTTTTACAAAAGTCTTTGTGTGGCTGTCATGAAGTGCTGGGGCTGTCACTGCCTGGAGAGGGAGAGTCTGGACAAACTGAGACCAAACCAAGCCCCCACTCTCTTCAGAGTCACTGGTGGTGGTGCTCTCCCCCACAAACTCTACTTCACTCAAGCTTGACTCACTGTCCCCGAAGCAGTTGGTGGTATAGTTACTCTGCTCATCTTCACTGGTGTCCACCACTGTGGAGTGGAACAGGGATTCACACTCAGCAGAATATTCAGAGTCACTAGCCACATATGCATATGGGCTCACATATGGAAGAGGGACCTGGGTATAGACTCCCACGGGTTCCCTGCGATTCCTCCTTGCCCTTCTCAAGGCTTCTTCGTAGGAAATCTCAGCAGATGACTTCCACCGCCGATAGTCGGTCCGCTTGTGTTTCGGTTTGGCCACAACTGCTTCTCTTCCATGCCCATGTCCGTGGAACTTAGTCACAGGCCTATGGAGGCCACCTGTGGCCCTGCCGGAAAGACCAGCCTCTGCCTGGGAGTTTCCACCCTTCTTCCCTCTGGAAGAGACTTTTTTGAATTTCTTATTTGTATCCAAGTCATCGGGGAAATGACATTTCTTGCTCACAACTCTGCTTTTTTCCCTCACTGTCTGCAAGCTACTTTCCACCCCATTAAGACCATGGGCTCTGTGCTTCAGGGTTGAGCTCTTCAGGATTCTGACATTTTTGTTAGCTCTCTGTAACTTGCTACTTTGCTGCTGCCCCGGAATGAACTGAGCATTGACGAGAAGCCCGTCCTCCAAGCTCTGGGAAGAAGAGCCCTCGCTCTTGAAATCTAAGGCAGGTCTCTCTTCAATAGGCAGGGAGGAAGGCAGGGGCGGTGGAGGCGGCGCGGCAGGAGGAATTGCTGGCAGAGCTGCCTGTGAGCTGGTTTTCTGCGACATCTTTTTCAATGGCTGGACAACTTTGTTCTCCTGTTGGAGAGCTGGGATGCGGCCAGGACTTTCTTTCGGAGAGGCAGTGAAGAGCTGACCACTTTCTTTAGGGGAATCCCCTGCCCCAGAAACAGGGCACCGTGCAAACTCCTGGGAGCCTGGCTTGACACTTTTTGGCAGGTGCTTGCTCTGATGATCAGCGGCTGCATTTGGCGGGCAGCCCACAGACACAGGCATCCTCCGGCTTTCCAGCTGTTCACCCTTTGAGTCTTTCAACCACTGCTTCGGCGGGGACAATGTGCCATTCTCCAGAGTGGCCGTTCCACCAGAATGCAAACAGGCTTGTTTAGAATTCTTAAGGTTAACACTGTTGCTGTGTGTAATTCCGCCAGTAGCTCTGACACAAATGCTCCCATGTCTAAGAATGCCCTTTGTGGGGTCAGCATTCACGCTTGTCCGCAGCTTATTAGTCCTAACAGGATGTGTTTTTTTCTGCACTAGGCTCAAGATGTAGCCATCTATCTTCTTACTGGACACAGGATAGGACACAGACATGGAGTTGCTTTGTGGGATAGAAGAATTATCTGCTTTCACAGCATCTAGCTCGGAGCCAGTGCAAACATCATTAGCACTGTTACCAAGTCGTTCCTCGACTTTTGGGGGGTTGTTGGTCATAGAAAGAAGAAACATTGGACTCTGTACAGCTACAGCATGAAGTGGACTTGGATAGCGATATATATCGTTCCCATTTTTAGATACCAAATCACACTGATACTTAGGATTCACATCTGCAATGACATCAAGGGAATTGGATTGCGGTATAGATAGTGAACGGCAAACATCTTCACGCTGACCTTCTTTGTGGTCCAACCATCCTATGAGATCTAAGGGGAAAAAAAAATCAAAAAGTATTTTGTTCATTAGCTCTATTATGACTTTGTGGCTAATTTTCTGAAGTAGGGAGAATATTACTTTTTTAAAATCTTAAAAGTATGATTCATGGACGACGTACTGTACATACTGATGAAACAATTAAAATATTTCATGCTTGTGAACTTTTTTTTAAGGAGTCTGGAAAATTAATGTTCATTGCTTTGTATTTGAGGGGGAGAGGGAAATGTTAATTTTTTCCTTTTAAAAAAGAAAACTTTTTAATGCATTAGATTGTAAGCTCCTTGAGGACAGGGACTGTCTTTTGTCTCTTTTTGTATCCCCAGCGCTTAGCAAACTGCCAGCCACATAGCAGGTGCTGAATAAACGTTTATTGATTAATTTGAAAAGGCTGAGACTGATAGCAAAAATTACTCACTGTGTGACCTTTGGCAAATTACTTCATTTCTCCGGCCTTCAGTTTCCTCATCTATAAAATGAGAAAGTTGAACAAGATGAAGTCCCTTCCATTTCCAACATTTTACAATCTACGTTCTAGAATCTTAACTATCCCCCACAGGTCTCTGGGCAAATCTTTCCTCTATCTTTATCTTGTCTTTTCATCTTTTTTGTAGTGAAGTGGAATAGTCAACAAAACACTTACCTTGTGGTCAGGAAGACCTTAGTTCCAATCTTGCCTCAGATACTTGCTAGCTGTGTGACACTGGGCAAGTCCCTCAACCTTTACCAGTCTCAACTTCCCTGACTGTAAAATGGGGATAATAATAGTACCCATTACAGAGGGCTGATGGGAAGATCAAATGAAAGAATATATGTAAAGGCTATGTGAATTTTAAAGTGCTATATGCAATGTTGCTGCTGCTGCTACTGATGATGATGAGGAGGATGAGGAGGATGTATTATTATCTGGGTATCACAGTGACTGGTGTTGAATTTAAGAGTTAGAAGATCTGAGTTCCAGTTCTGTCCCAGACAATTTACTAACTTTGCGATCCTGGGCAAGGCATTAAACCTCTCCATTCCTCAGTTTTCTCATCCATAAAATGGAGATAATAATATGGGGTTACTTGTGAGGATCACATGTAAATCACTTTGCAAATCTTAAAGCATTATCTTGTCATTGCCGTACGGTCCTGTCCAACTCTTTGTGACCCCGTAGATCAGAGTGTGTCAATACTGCCCATGAGGTTTTCTTGGGAAAGAGACAGGAATAGTTTGCCATTTCCTTCACCAGTGAATTAAGGCAAATAGGGTTAAGTGATTTGCCGAGGATCACACAGCTAGTAAGTGTCTGAGGTTGGATTTGAACTTGGGTCTTCCTAACTCCAGGCCCAGCTCTCTATTCACTGAGCCATCTAGCTACCTCTAAAGTACTATATTAAATGCTAGCTTTTCTTATTCTTGTTAATTATTATTCTTGTTACTATCGTTTGTAGCTTTCCCATCAGTTCAATTAAGCTCAAATATGTAATAAGTATTAACATGCAAGGCACTGTACTGGGTTGGCACTGGAGATACAAAGATGTAAATAAGACTATTACTATCCTCAGGGAGCTTATAGTTTATTACTTTACTTTTATGATTTATTGCAATATCATTTATTCTTTTGTATCTTCTTAAGAAAAAAAATGATCTTGATCGGCATTATAATATTCAGGAATAATTGTCATAAAGAAAATCATGAAGAGGGGACCATTTACCAAAGTCTCATCATTAGAAGGATTGATCAAATTACAACAACAGATTCTTTAGATTTTCAATTGTGACACTTTGATGTATTCATGATTTCAGTGTAGGCACTCCTTCTACTAGTATTTATCTCAACCCATCCAAACTTTCTCATGCAAGTGAATTCCTGTCCATGTCTTTCCAGGAATCCTCTCTAAAAGATGCTTCTGCCACAAAATGCACTCAAGGTCTTTCTCTAAGACTTTGCTAGCTTATGAGGGCCACACTCACTCTCCATTAGCTGTTATCCCCTCTTTCTTGATCACCAGCCCATCTCCTTTCCAAGTGCACATATCCCCAGTCCACAACTTCTTATACACTTACAGAATCATCCTTCAATTAATCTAAAGGGAAAAAAGCAATTTGTTTTGGAGGGGAGGAAAATCCCTTAATAAGTAACTCAATGAGTTCTTGGTGCCAGTGAACTTAGAAACCATTGGCAGACAAACAATTTGTATTTTTGCCAGGGCCATGACCTGAGGAATGTGTTCTACATTCTTCATCCAGGAAAAGACCCTTCCTCAGCCATATTCTCTGTGGCTCATCTTTTACCTCCAGCCTAGAATTCACTTCTATTAAAAATTTTGATAAATTTTCAGTTTAAAAAAATTAACAAAAAATTTGATCAAAGATGAATTTCCAACATACACCAATTCAAATGTAAGATTTCTGACTTCATTCATCATTTCCATCTGCTTTCTTTCTGTAGTACTGCATTATTAATATTTCTTCTGTAATATAAAATCAATTCTAAATATCAAATAATATTTTAATTGCCTCCCACTTATCTGAAGAGAACAAAATTTTAAGATTACCACTGTTCAATTAAAGTTCCCTCCAGTTAGGAGACCTTTGCACTGAAGAGCAACATCTGAAAATCAAAAGTGCATCCATTTCCCATTTTTCTTAAATGAGGAGGTTCTTGTTTCTTAAGTTTTTTTCCTATGCTAAAAAAACAAAAGTCTTTTGCCTTCTTTCAGAGGTACTAACAGAACTGCCCAATTCAAGGGAAATATGCTAAAAGCTTATTAACAATGAGAAAGTGTATATTTTCTTCCCTTTTATCTCTGGCACTCCAAAAAGAAAAGTTATCCATCTGAGATGCTTGCCCTGCATCTCTTCCAGAAACAATAACCCTATTTATAGACTATCTTAAAATATGATTATAAAGTGTTCTGAAAATAGCTTTCACACATACACACACACACACACACGTTCACACACACACACACACACACATTCTTTTTCTTTTTGAAAAATAAAAGAATCCCAAGATGTAAATTAAGTTAACTTTCAAGAAAAATTACATCAAAACAGATATATTAGTTCCTAGATCCTCACCTAATTGAATGAGTCCTGTTGTTTTTAAATTATATGACTATGAGATTTTTCCATGGGCTTTATTTAGGGGGGGAAAGCCGCTAATCAGCTTCCAAGGAAATCATCCAATCTTGTACCAAATTGCCTTTAATAGGTTTATAAAAATTTCCTCTGAGAACAATTCAGTACAGAATGGAATAGAGCAATTTGTAAACTTTGGCAGCATAAGATAGCCAATCTAGATAACACAAATTTGTTTTTATATCAAACTATTGGGACTGAATACACTGTTCTCAAACAAAGAAACCATTCAATTACCAATCCTCCACTGCTCTGTACCAAGCAGCCCTATCTTTCATATATGAGAATTCAACATCAAATAGACTGCAGTCAGACAAAGAATACAGCACCATATTTCTGTCCCTTTCCATAATACCATGGAGTATATAGTCTCTGCACTGCCTTTTCTCTTGCTTTGAGGCTGTGTGATAAGAGGGAACATGGAGGCATGCAAAAAATGCCATGGGTGCACCAGTGAGTGAAAAGGCACACATGAAAATGGTTCTTAAAATAGCACAGGTGTTATCCCAGCCTCATACACCACACTCCTCTGTGCTCTTTCTCCAGAGACAGAATAGCATCTTTCACACTGTGGTCCACGTCTCATCTCCCTGGGAAGTAAGGTATATAAAAGGAGCTAATCTTTCAGCCAAAGGATTCTGAGAGACATACCAGGACCACTGATCCCCTGGGTGCTAAAAAACAAACAAAAAAGCCAACCTCTTTTCACTTCCCTGATGGATAAGATTAACTTAATAATAACTTCACTTCTAAGTTGGTGAATAAGCAGATTCGAATCCCAGTTCTGTCACTTTTTATAACCTGAGTGACTTTGGGCAAGTCCTGTCACCTTTCTAAGCCTCAGTTTTCTCATCTGTAAAAAGGGGGGGGGGGACTAGATGACCGCTAAGAAATCTTCCAGCTCTGGATTTGACTGCATCTGTCAGTTCTATTATCTTTTCAAATGAAGAGAAACAGTCCAAATAATATTAGGTATCAGGTTTCCAGACCTCCAGTGTTGGCACAACATTCCTGCTGATAAATCAGAGTCATCTGAAGTCAGAAGATGACTTAAATGCACACTATAATTCAATTATTAACCCTCTACTGCTTTGAACCAGACAGTCTTTTTTTCATACATGAGAATTCAACCTAGAATAGATAGATAGCTATAGTATTCATGACGCAACTAAGAAGTAATTGAATTGGAGATCTTGGATTCTAGTCTCAGCTCTGCAATCTTCTACCCATGTGACCTAGGCCAAGTCACCTCACCTCTCTGGGTCTCAAATGACTATTTGTAAAGCAAGAAGCTGTAGCTGTATCCTAGATTCCAAACTTTTTGACTCACAGCTCACTATAGGAATCAACGAGGAATCAAGGTACACTGAACATTTAAGCTGTCAACAAAGAAGGATTCCCAGGAAGGGGGACTGCCAGAGCCATTATCCAGACCTTGGGATTCTTCTATCTCTCCTTTCCCTCTCCCATCACCTCATTCTTTCTTTACTTCCCCCAAAACTCAAGCCAAAGGAGGTGGCTTTGTGATTCCCAGACAGAGACACTCGTCTTACCTTCCAAAACCAAACAGGAAGGAGCAAGTAGCCAAAAGCAACTGGAGACAGGGGCTGGGGAGCGTGGAAATCTCAGAGAGAGAGGAAGAGTTTTATGGCATACTTCATAAAGTGTGAAATACACTAGTATGTTACTATATACCCTCTGAAGGCAGCTATGTAGCCCAGTGGATAAAGCGCCAGATCTGGAGTCAGGAAGACTCATCTTTCTGAATTCAAATGTGGCCTCTGACACAAGCTGTGTGACCTGGGCAGGTCACTTAACCTAATTTGCCTCAGTTTCCTCATCTGTAAAATGAGCTGGAGAAGGAAATGGCAAACCACTCCAGTACCTTTGCTGAGAAAATCCCAAATGGGGTCATAAAGATTTGGACATAAATGAAGCAAATGAATAATAACAACATATACCCTTTGAGGACCATGGGACTATATGTACTCTAACTGTCCTTTCTAGGACTAAAATCTCTGTGAATCTTACCTGCAGATTTGGGGTGTCCATCTGAGATATTCAAAGATGTTTCCAAAGGGCTACAAAAGCAGGTGCTGGAATGGCAACTGGATAAACACTCACAGAAGACCGAATTGGAAGAATTGGAAAGTGATCCTGAGGCCCCATCACTCAGCTCATAAAACCCTAAGAATACAAACACCATTTGGAATTAGACTGCTTTGAGTAACCTACACATTTCCTACTTAAAAGGAAATTTTTTTCTAGAAAAGTTAAGAGAAAGTTTGAAGGTGAATTTAGATTCACTGGATTTCATGTTCTAATTTTACAGCTCTATTTCAATTTCTGAGAACTCTGGAAATTGGATGGAAAGTGAGTTCTAAAAAAACCCTCATAGTTACTATAGTCTCTGACCTTCCTTCTATTTTTTTCCTAAGTCCCTTCCATTCGTACTTAATGAAAGATGAAATGTATAATGAAATAGACACTATGCAAACATGCAAAAAGAAAAATCATATATGTATGACTTGGTCCTTACTGTTATCAGGATTTAGGGTGGGGAAACGTTCAAGAGAAGACAGCAGGGAGTAAACAAAAATCCATTTTGTGGACCAAATGGCAACAAACTTTTGAAGTAGTCTCAGGAAGTTGAAGTGTGACTAATGTTGTAGCTCACCGCCGACTCTCTCACATTTCAAAGAAGGAAAGTTCTTTCAGAAATTTAAATAAAAGTTCATTTTTTTTAAGCTGAAAAGAATTCACTCTTATTAATGTCACTACTTTTTTAAGTTTGGGGGTTTTTTTCCTTCCTTCAAAAGGATGGTGAGGGGTTATTTTCCTACATTGAAAACACAAATCTATTACAGTTTGACAGGTCTTGAAAATCTGATAATAAGGGACATTTGTATTCAGTCACTACGTAGCACAAGAATATAATCAGTTAATAGAAAGCAAGGAGCTTTACCTGAGCTAGGACGGCTATCTGTCTCCAGATGCTCTTCTGATGTTTTTTCTACATCCAACCTTAAATCACTTATCTGCTTGTCTAGCTCTTGCAACTGGTTTAATAGACCAGCATCTCTTCTCCTCAAACAATTCTGAGGTGGAAAAAGGAAAATAAAATTAAGACACATTAGTGAGAAACAGATGTTCTGTTACACATACTAAAATTACCTCATCTCACACATCAGTTCTCAATTTTCCAAGACCAAAAATTTACTCACAAGGATGGAAACAAACAAAACCCTCAAAAGGATAAGGTCACTAAATTCTACTTTATTTTTATACATTATATTAGAATAAAATGTATTATACTTTGTATAAACCTAATGTCTTTAACATTTAACTACAAGATTCAAGCTACACATTTCAAAAGTTTAATGGAAAGTGGAAAAACAAAAACAGAGAACTAGATGGGCTTACTTACAAAGAATCATCTAAAATAAATTATTTTATAAGAAACTTAAGATCACTGTCAACAGGAACTGCGATCTAAGCTAGACAGCCTATATAAAGTTTTGTTACAATCAGCATACAATCAGCATAAGTGCCTTTGAAAATGAGAAACTACAAACGCTAGCTAGTCCCAAGTACAGTGTGAGCTGACAGAATTTGGAACTAAGAGAGATAAAATTTGAACTAGTTCAGATTTCCCAAGTGGAGAAGCATCAGTTCTACTAACTCGTCAGTGCCACCTAGTGGTCTGCCAGGAAAAAAAAAAGATACAACCTAGAGAAGGCATCTGGTTCAAATCATGAATGTCAAGTGTACTAATTAAAATAGTATCACAAACATTGGCTAAGCTAGAATTCTCTTGGCAAAATGCTGCACTCATCTGGAACAGACAATAGATATGTGCCATTTATGATCATAAGTAAATGACTTCGTTATTTATGAAGACAAAAAATGCTATTGCACAGCATAGTGCATTAAACATGCATGACCAACCAAAATTATCCCAAGCTAGTGTCATACCCAAATTCGGTCTGCAGCCAAAGAAATATATAAAAAATCCAAATCACATTAGGAGCATAGGATGGGCTATACTGTGTAGTTTTTTACTTTAAAAAAAAATTTGCATGAATATTCCGTGTTCTTCCATAGGCTTGAAAGCTTTGGGACACAAACCATGCCCATTTGATGAAGATATTTATAAAGGGAAAATTAGCTGAGTGAATCAAGAATCTTGAAGTTACAAAAAAATTTAGATGGCAACAAATGACTCTACGACACTTCACTGTTTGTGCTGGCCATTAATCTTCCGGCACAGTTATTGAGGAGAATTCACATAAGGGTTTAGTTGGTGTTTTCCAAACTACGTTTTGAGGGCAGTGAAAACAAAAGACTCCGCCATTGCTATGAGGCTGGGTTAAAGACATTAATCGATGCCTCTTAGTTTTTTTTCTTCACTCTTAATGAAGGCTGCTTAAAATGGCCCCTTCTGATAGAATCCAATAAGACGGTTTCCCTCCCCCTGAAATCACAGTTGGATTTCAAAGTACAGTAGATGTAAAATAGTATCCATTGGGGGAGGGGCGCCAGTCATCCCCACTCAATTTACATCAGTTGCATTTCGTTTTAGCTCCATTATGCAAAGGAGCCTACATCTGAAATTAAGCTTCAGATCGACTGCAAAAGCTGACACGCGGAAGAGAGGTATGGGAGTGACAATGAATTAACCGACCTATTCCCTAAGGTCATTTCAGTTTAATGGCTTAAAAAAAAAAAGTCATTTCATTTGAGGTGAAAATTTTAATCACACCAAGAGCCGCTTTCTTGGCTTTTGTTACTTTTAAAAGTGAGTGAAAAAGAAAAAGGAAGGGAACTCACAAGACCTCCAAATGAAATTTTGTTTTAGGGCAGGGTTTCTCCAGGCCCCCCCACCCCCGAAAGCACTTAGATGACTTTCACTAGCTGAAAGGAAAAGGAAAGCTGAAGGTCACAAGCAGACGAAGCAGAGAAGATGCTGAGCCTTTGAATGGAGGTGTGCCGAAATTATTCCCAACTCTAACCCTCACCTGATCCAGACACAATGCACGCGCGCACACACATAGTGACACCAAAACGAGAAAGGGTTGTGTTCGGGGCGCTGCCGTCGGGGCTGCGGGGGAGACAGAGAAGGAGAGAAGACAGAGAGAGGAGCACCTTGGATTGGGGAGGGGAGTGTCTTTGTAACAGACTTTTGTAACAGACTCCTGGAGGTCAGGGACGGTTTCATTTTTGTCTTCGTATCCCCAGCGCTGAAGCTGGTGGATGGTTTAACAAAGCAAATTCCTGCAGCCCGAAGCAAACCCCCTCTGCCCCGAAAACGGCAGTCGGGGACCCCCGGGTCTCCGCCCAGAGGGGCTACGTACCAACTGCTGCCTCAGCAGCAAGATGTTCTCCTCTAAGTACTTCTCCTCCAGGCGACTGCGCTGGGAGGCTTCTCCGGGCGCCTGCAGCTCCCCGGCCCGAGTCGGCGCCACGCCCCCGGCTCCAGCTCCCGCTCCGGCCCCGGCCCCGGCTGCGAGCCCCGGACTTCGGAGGACGCTCCGGACCAGCAGCTCCTGCCGCTGCCGTAGGAACTCCAGCTCCGCCAGACCGGCCAGCGTGGCCTCCAGCCGCTCCCGGGTGCGCTGTCGCTCAGTGTCCGCCTCGCCCTTGTCCCGCCAGCGCCCCTCGGGCTCCACTGCCCGCTGCTCTCCCCGGGGCGCCTGAGGCTCCGGGTCTTTCGTGGTTACGGCTGAGCTCGGTTTCATGTCCTTCCCCCTCTTCCCAACCCCTCATCCGACTGGAAGAGGCGTGCACGCCCCTGTCCCCGTGGACCCGTTCCGCAGGTGGAGGCGATGTTCCCCAATACGCTGTGCGCAGGAGAAAAGAAATCGATTGCTCCTCTGCTATAGCTACTGCTGGTGGGCTAGGAGGCGGGGCGAGGGGTTCATGCTGCACAGGACTGGGGGAGACGCAGGGCAAGAGAGGGAGGGAAATTCTTCCCTTACGACAGTCCCTGTTTCAGATCCAGCTGAGACGGCAACGGAGGAGCAGAGTCTGGCCAGCCAACCTTGTGCACACCCACCCATCGGTCCTGGAGTTAGTTGCAGCTCCCTCCTCTGACTCTCCCAGGTCTCCTCCCAGCCAGGATCCTCTGCTGATAATGTTCCTCGGCGCAACGTCACACACAGCTTTGCAGCTCTGCAAACCCTCAGTCCCACATCCTCTTTCTTTGGTCCTGCCCCCCTGTCTATTTCTCACTCTCGCTTTATCTTTCCCTCTCTTCTGTCAGGCTCACCCTTCTCTTCTATTTTCGTTCAGCTCCTTGTTCTAGTCACTTGGCCCTCCCCGCCCCCTCTCTTTTCTCTTACCTCTTCTCTCCCCCTGCCACCCATCCCCCCTTTCTCGTTCGCTGAGCTCACTTTTTTTTTCTTTCTTTTTCTTATTGGTTCTCCTATTTCGCACAACTCAAGGGGCAACTGACTTGAGTCCCAGTATCCAGTTACAATTGGACTTGGAGCCAAAGTCCACGAAATAACAAAACGGTTGGGCTCCCCTGAGAACTTTCAAAAACTCTGATTTTCAGCACAAAATCTTAACCCTTTCTACACACACTGTTCATATCAACTGAAGTTGAATTCGTGTTTCTTTTCTAGTAATGACTGAGGTTATTCCCCACCCTTACAAAAAAAATGTTTCTATACAATTTGTTGGGGGGTTTTTTAAAGTTATAATGGGGAGAGCTTTGTAACTCTTTAACTCTTAGATCGCACACCCCCCCAGTGGTGGAGATCTTAAAGGTATTTGAAACTGGACTGTAGAAAATCAATGAAAACTATACTGCAGGCAATTGCCTTGTCTTTTAGGTCCTTGGGGAGCACTAGAGGTGACCTAATATTAGAGCTTTTTTCCACCTTCAATCCCTATGATTAATTTTTCCAGAGGGGCTCACAGGATAGTTTCTTTCATGATAGTATTATATGCAGCATGATTATTTCTCCTTAGGACATTAGACACAAAGAGATTTAACGTCATAAGGTGTATTAAATAACTAGGAGCTAGTTCTTTGCTGCAAATGTGTTTAAATGGGGAAAAGTTTGTAACACACACACACACATAAACACACACACACACACCCTTCATTTGGATCCCACTCAGATCAGAAAATTCAGTCCCTCAGATTTGGTATTAATGATATTGAATGAGTTAAAATAAATGTTACATATTACATGTATGTATGTATGTAACCCAAGTGGGTCCGTCCGTGAGGCTCTCCCTTTCAAGAAAGAAAGAATATTCTTTGTAATTTATCTAAGTTCTACTTTTCTTTCAAGTCCCAGCCTACAGATGGCCCCAGAACAGTGTGACATGACAGCTAAAAAAACTAGTGAAATCTTAGGCTGTGTCAGCTGAAGCGTGGGGTCCAGAAAGAGAAAAGTGATAGTCTTCTTGTACTTTGCCCTGTTCTTACCACATCTGGATTATTGTGTCCTAATCACAGAGACATTTAGGGAGGATATTGCCAAGCTGGAGTGCGTCCAGGGAAAGACAACCAATATTGTGAGGTGAATGGAAATCAGGCCATATGAGCATCAGGAAAGAAGACGGTCACATGTTGAGGATGTAAGGCATTTTTATTTGCTATAATAGGCTGCATAGACATATACACTTGCAACTACACATCTAGACAATTGGGGAGAAAGCATATGTGTACGTATGTATCAGACACATGAACATGTGTTATATATGTGTGTGTGTATATATGAGACACTATATATGTGTGTGCATGATGTACATATATACATATGCTTTCTCCCCAACTAAGCTTTAGAGCCTCTGTGTATCCTAGTCATGTTTTCATTAACTCATACCTTAACTCTCTATATTAATATTATTATTTACTAATTAATATTCTTTTATATATAATATTAAAAATACAATTTGAATGTAATAAACTACATTTCTTTACATAGCTTTACAAAATATACATTGGATTTTTCATTTTATTCCCTATACATGTTAATATGACCCTTCTACAACCTTTATTCTGAATTAATAAAATATTAATGATTTTAAAGTTTTATTATAAATCAGACCCAAATGTAAAATTGTATCAGATGATCATTACAAAAAACAAATTAATAGACTTTACTGAGTTTATTATGCAATACTTATTAGACTTCATTATGGACAGGGCTCAGAGCCTAAAGGACTATGTTATCTATTTCTGTCTGTCCAATAGCACTCATCTATGTTCTTTGTCATTTCCCTAGTCTTTCTCTAAAAATTGTTGCTGGTTAGTTCTTTAATGAGATTTTTTTTCTGTTTAGAATTTTGGCCTCTCAGGTAGGGGGGAAGAAAGAAATCAGCAAATTGTCAAATGCTTTTTAACATAACCCTAATGTAAGGTAAGTCAGCTAAGTCACTAATACCCTCTATCCTTCTGTCATTAGACAAAGCATGGTACTTGCCATAACAGCTCCACTTGCAAATCACCATAAGAGAGTTCTCCTAGCATGCTCTAGTCTCACAATAAATGCAGCAGATATTTTGCCAATAAACCAGGAGGGGGGGAAAAGTTTATAATTTCCAAAGTGCCTATTATACATGAATAAATAATGCAGTTCATTCAAAGGCCAATTAAAACAAACAGGCTGTCAAAGTTAGAAGCAAGGGACTCAATGCTACGATTGTTATTCGGGGAAAACTCTAAGTGATCAGAAGATTAAGGGTGATGGGTCAGGTTGCCTCCTATTCTGCTCTTAACTGGGCAGCCTAATTTTCTCCTCTCCAGTCTGGTTCCTTTGCTTTTTCCTACTTCTTTGATTCTTTGTTTTGGTTGCAGGTACGTAGAAAGCAGTTTAAACAGATCACCCACTGCTTTCCTCTGTTGCCAGCAGGATCTGACCTCCCCCTGCTGTTCTGATTTTTTTTTTAAAGTAGTTTGTATTGCTCCTTGTTCAGTTACTTCATTATCTCCTCACTAGTCATTGCACCCTTTGGCTTCCCTAGATACGCTGCTTTTTGTTACCCAGAAAGCCTAGCAATCAGTACTTAGATTTGCTGATATAAGTGTGTGGCTTAAATTAATATGTGTTTGAGTTACTTAACATGTGCTTGAAGCTATTTCCTGGGAATGTCAGAAAGGGTCACCCAGATGTATAGTCTGATGCCTTACATTTGGCAGTCCAGCACTCCACATCATTGCCACTAGTGTCTGAAAATCATTCTATAAATGCCTTGTCCAGCAGTGAGCTTTCTCTTGCAGCAAAGAGAGGCCAGGAACATCAATTGCACACTTTACAATATAGCATGGCAACAAAATGATGCCTTGTAGCTTTTATGACCAAACAAACACAAATGATGTAATTGGGGAAAGCTGTCTCAGAATAAGAGAGGGAAAAAAAGTAAATGGCAAGCCTTTGAGCAGGGGCAATGACCACCAAGCTAAGGATTTGGGATCAAAGCTCTAGCAAGACTTCAAAGCCCATTTGAGTTGAATTCCAAAAGAGCTATAGTGAATTAAACTTTATATATAAGCTAATTACAGGCTGGGATATGCAATTAGGCTTCAATGAGAATCTGAAGGGAAGAAAGCGGACATTGAAAAAAAATTAAAGGAAAAAGGAAAGTTGGTAGCAAAACTGGGCATCATCATGGCCCTGGACACTTTTAAAAGCCTTTTGAGGGCAGAAGAGAATAAAAGAAGGGCAGAGGCAAGCATGCAGCAAACTTTTGACAATGTGAGTCTTGTTTGGAAGACTATGGAGTCAGATGCAGCTCTCACGGACTGCACTGCTACAGGACTAGATATGCCTTTATCCTCAGAAGGAAAGGCATATCAAGCTGGCTTCTAACTATCCTACTGTATTGTTAAAATGGATCTGTGTAGACAGGTTTCTGTTGAAAGGGCACAACCTGCTTCCATCCAGTTTGGTAAATAATTCCTTCAGCATCTCGGACTTTCTAACCCTGAATACAATCCGTTCTGAAGTCAATCCTGTCTGTTTTATGGAGCGACTCGCTTCTCTCATGTTCTTAACCAGTGATTCTGCCACCTGCCCTGTCCTCTGGCCACTATACTCTGCCATCCTCTTCAAAATCTTAACTGATTGCGAACTTTGAAAAACATTGAGTATGTAAATGTCCCAATCATGGTATTATGGAAAATATAATGTTCCTCCATACTTAATTAAAATGAACTTTTTAATCAATTAAATTGTTGGTCTTTTGCTTTTACATTAATTTTATTGGCTGAAACTCTGCAAGTTTGACTTTTGATCAATTTCGTTTTCCCCAACTATTTTTATTTTCCTCCTCTCATGGGTTGATATAGCATTGTAATCTGAATTTCATATAATGGGAAGTTTTCAAATGGGTTACAGAGTATTTCTTTATAAGTTAGAAACTTTACTTTTGATTTGTTTTAAATAACAAAAAAATCAAATTTATGCCATGTGTTTCAACTTAGAAGATTATAGAGAAATATAATAACAACTCATTTTAAATAGTGCTTTAAGGTTTAGCTAATGATTTTCTTACAACCCTGCGAGATAAGTAGTACAGGCATGATTACTCTCATTTTACAGATGAAGAAACTGAGGCTCTGAGAGGTAAATAACTTGCCTATGGACATGAAGATTCACAGCACTTGGATGAGCAATAAGGTGGTGGATGGCTGGACCTTGCCATCCATCTGGCCACTCCTGTCTAGGGTCCACTGACCCTTACCATCCACCCTTCCTGCTATGCCATTCCTGTCTAGGGTCCACTGACCCTTACCATCCATCCTGCCCACTATGCCCTCTAGACTCTCAGGGATTGCCATTTGACCTACTTTTGTACCCTAAGCACTTCAAGGTTTTGTCATTCATCAACCTGGCAGCTGAATCTCCTATATGTCTTCTCTCTTCTAGTTAGAATGTAAACTTCCTGAGAGCAAGAATGGCTTTGCTTTTCTATTTGCATTCCCAGCACTTAGGGTATTTCTTGTCAAATAGTAAATACTTCTCCATTCCCTTCTGCCAGTAAGTGTTTGAGGTGAAATTAAAACTCAGGTTTTTCAACTCCAAGTCATGCATTCTTTCCACTAAGTAAAGATGCCTCTCTAGTACATAAAGTTAACAAACATTTATTTGGTACCTGCTATGTGTAAGGAGCAGCTAGGTGGTGCAGTGGATAGAGTGCTGAGCCCAGAATCAAGAACACCTGAGTACAAGTTTGGCCTCAGACACTTACTAGCTGTATGATCCTGGGCAAGTCACTTAACTTCTGTCTGCCTGAGTTTCCTCATCTGTAAAAAATGGGGGTAATAATAGCACCTACCTCCCAGGGTTGTTCTAAGGATCAAATAAAACAACAATTGTAATATTGTTATGCCAATGGTTCCTGGCACATAGTAAAGCGCTATGTAAATGTTAGTTATTATTATTATTGCTGTTGTTGTTGTTGTTGTTATAAGGACCTGGGCTACAAAGATGAAAAAAAAAAGACAGAATCCCTGATCTCTATCAGATTTCAATTCAAAAGAAAGGATGCATCATCTATACAGATACAAGTTAGAATGTGATATGGGCAAAGAAAAAGATTTAGACAACACATTACAAGAACTGAAGAGAGATAAATCACTTTCAGTTAGGGCAGATCAAGACCATCAAGGATAAGAATTTTTTAACCTCAACTTTGTTTTAATTTGCCTTTTTTGAATTTTCTCTTTTGTTATTAATTTTTAATTACTTATTTAGTATTTTATTTTCCCCAATTACATGTAAAAACAATTTTTAACATTCATTTTTAAATTTTTGAGTTCCCAGTTATCTCCCTCCCTCCCCACCCCCCTCATTGAGAAGGCAAGCAACTTGATATAGGTTATACATGTGCAGTCATGCAAAACATTTCCATATTAGTTATGTTATAAAAGAAAACATGGACCCCCCCAAAAAAAAAGAAAAAGAAAGTTTAAAATATGCTTTGATCTGTATACAGACTCTATCAGTTCTTTCTCTGGAGAAGAATAACATTTTTCATCATAAATCCTTCAGAGTTGCCTTGGATCGTTGTATTGCTGAGAATAGCTAAATCATTCACAGCTGACCATCTTACAATATTGCTGTTACTATGTACAATGTTATCCCGGTTCTAATCATTTCATTTTGTATCTGTTCATATAGGTCTTTCCAGGTTATTCTGAGAGCATCCTGCTCATCATTTCTTATAGTACAACAGTATCCCAAGGGATAGGAATTTCAATAGAAATATGAAGAGAACGTGTTCTAGATATGCCTGTACCAATGCGCAAAATCTTTAAAGAGTTTAGGAGTCCTTTAAATCCATTGGATAAAGTAGAGTTACTTGCTACAAGAAGTCTATTTGAATTGATTTAAGGAGTTGTTCATACCCCATGGGGCTTGTATAAAACTAGTAGCCTAGTTTAATGTTAAGCATTCTACATATGGCAGCTTAGCAGAGTCCTCCAGTGAAGCCTCTGAGAAGGAATTGATCAGGGTGTAGAGAGGGAAGGAGAAGAGCCCTGGTCTTAGGCTCAGTCTTGGTCTCAGTCTTCTCTCATGCCCACCTTCTTGCATAGAGGAAGCTCTTGTGAACTTTGAAGGGTCTGGAGGATTGGGAGCTTTCATATTTCCCATTAGCATGCAAGCTCAGAACTGCTAAA